ACAGGCGCCCGCCACAATGCCCGGCTATTTTTTTGGTTGCAGCCGTCATTGTTGTTTGGCGGGTCCGGGCTGGGGATTCGAACCCGACACCTTAGGTGTACGTGGCTGGCACCTTAGCCGGTACCTGCATCTTTTTGATACTTTTGTTTTGTTTTATATTGTTTTGCTGGAGTTTGAAATTACCTGTTATCCTCTGTAGCATTGGGTGCAATTTGCCTTCCTTTCCTTCTTTTCTTTTATCCTGCCTAAATTCCCTTCCTCCCTCCTTTCTTTTTCATGTTCGTTCTTCCTTCTTTCTGTTTAACTTTACTGATTTTTAAGAAGCTTTAGTTTTAAAAGCTTAAATTCATACTCAAATCACGTCTGACTTTTGCAGTTACAAGAGGTGACTTGTATTCATCTTTTGTTATTGGTATATGTTATTACAAATTTAACACAGTTTTTCCTTTCTTAAATACATATACATTTTTTGGTACCCTCTGTATAATTTTTAAACTTGCAGAAAAGTTGCAAAAATACTACAAAGAATTCCTAAATACCCATTATTGACATTCCTCAGATAATGTATTTTCTCACATTTTGCTGTCATCCTCTTTGTATATTAGTATCATTTTTCTCTGAACCATTGAAGAATAAGTTGTAGATGTGAGGCCTCTTTGAATCCTTTAGTGTGTATTAAAGGATTAACCAGAACACTTAACACAACCAGGAAATGAACATTTATCCACTTATTTATCTAATCTATAGCCCTTATAGATTTTGCCAATTGCTTCAATAATGTCTTTATAGAAGAAGACAAATAAATACATGTATTTTTTTCCGGTCATTAAAGGATTAACCAGAACACTTAACACAACCAGGAAATGGACATTTATCCACTTACTTATCTAATCTATTGCCCTTATATAGATTTTGCCAATTGCTTCAATAGTGTCTTTATAAAAGAAGACAAATAAATACATGTTTTTTTTTCTGGTCCAGTGTTTATTTCACAATTGAATGTTACATTTGATTATTTTTGATTATTAAAACTCAATTAATCGTGAAATATACAAACAAAGCAGTGCATAAGCCCTGGTGATTTTGGCTTTGTAACTTGTGTTCTCTGAGCTTTGGTTCATTCTGAGGTCTCAGCATTGCATAAAGAAAGCAGGTTGGCATTGATTGAGTTGGTAAATGCTCACTCTGAGTCTCTGCACATGCTGGTCTCAGCCTTTTCTCTTTTCCAGGCTGATCCTCCAGTTCTCATCTCTTTCAGGAAAACTTCCTTCTCCCTATTCTAGGCAGGATTGGAGCTCTTCCCTAATCTGAGTCCTGCTTCCCCGTGTATATATGGAAGCATCTATCTCAGCACAAAGCACTCTAGTTATTATAACTTAATGTTTGTAGTCATCTCTCCCATGAGTTTGTGAGCTCAAGGGAGCAGAGATCTCCCAACACGATTTTATTTTATCATTATTTTTGAGATAGAGTCTCAATTTGTCATTCTCAGTAGAGTGCTGAGGCATCATAGCTCACAGCAACCTCAAACTCTTGGGCTCAAGTGATCCTCTTGCCTCAGCCTCCTGAGTAGCTGGAACTACAGGTGCTCACCACAACACCTGGCTATCTTTTAGAGACCGGGTCTGTGTCTTGTTCAGGAACTCCTGAGCTTAAGCAATCCACTCGTCTTGGCCTCCCAGAGTAGCTAGGATTACAGGCATAAGCTACCTGCCTGGTCCTTATCATTATTCTTTTAAGATTTGGTTGTCACCATGTTGCCCCGGCTGAAGTGCAGTGGCTATGCACAGGGCAACCCCAGTATTGATCAGCCCTGGGGTTTTGACCTGCTCTGTATTCAACCTGGACCAGTTTACCCCTCCTGAGGCAACCTGGTGATCCCTGTCCTGCACCTCCCGCTCCTGGGAGATCACCATATTGATGATGAACTTAGCATGGACACCTACCTGATTGGCATAACCCACTACAACCCAGAACTCCTGGGCTCAGGTGATCCTCCCACCTCAGCCTCTTGGGTAGTTGGGAACAACAGGAGCATACGCCATTCCACCCAGCACCCAATATAGTTTTTCAGTTAAATAAAGTTGTCCTACATTAGTAAAACTCAGGCCTTGAAGTCCATGTTTTTTGGTTTGTTTTGCTTTTGGAGAGGAGATTCTAATTCGACCTTTGATAATATTCACATATTAAAAGGTGCTTGAAGATGAATATTAAAATCTCCAACGGTATTTCTCTTTGCAAGATAAAGATTCTTTTATTTTTTGAGACAGTCTATTTTTGCCTCAAGCTCATAGCGGTCCTTCTGCCTCAGCCTCTTGAGTAGCTAGGACTATAGGCGCCCGCCATCATGCCAGGCTAATTTTTCTACTTTTAATAAGGAGGGGGGTAGGTGTCTCGCTCTTGCTCAGGCTGGTTTTGAAGTTCTGAGCTGAAAGTATCCGTCTACCTTGGCCT